GAATAAATAAGTTTAAGACATTTATGTATGCATCTGCCTCTGAACTCTTCTATGCTCCTAGGTGTTTCTACGATCCCAATTCCACAGATACTAATCAAGGAGAGAAGCAACTTAGAACTAAGGAGAAATTTCCTGACAGTCAGAACAATTAATCAGTGGAACAACTTGCCTCCAGAAGCTGTGAATGCTCCAACACTGGAAGTTTTTAAGAAGATGTTCATTTGTCTGAAGTGGTGTAGGGTTTCCTGCCTGGGCAGGGGGTTGGACTTAGAAGACCTCCAAGGTCCCTTCCAACTCTGTTATTCTATTCTATTCTATCTGAATGTATATCACATGACCATGGGGATTCTTGTAATGGTCATAAGTGTGAAAAATGGTCATAAGTTACTTTTTTCAGTGCCATGGTAACTTTGAATAGTCACTAAATGAACTGTGGTAGGTCAAAGACTATCTATATGTGCCAGACTCACTCTGCATGTATAGGTTACCCACCCTGACTCAATCCAATATCTTATTTCTTCAGTAGGCAGCCAAATGCCTCCAGAAATAAAGTATAGAGGAGACATATTTGTTCCCCATCAATGAACATTCACAGATGCTCTACAGGTAGTCCTCGACTTATGACCACAACTGAACCCAGAATTTATGTTGCTAAGTGAGAAATTTGTTGAGTGAGTTTTGCCCCATTTTACAATTTTTCTTCCCACATTTGTTAAGTGAATCACTGCAGCTGTTAAATTAATAACAAGGTTAAGTGAATCTATCTCCCCCCATTGACTTTGCTTGTCAGAAAATCACAAAAGATGATCACATGACCCTGGGACCAGTGGTGAAATCTAAAATTTGTTACTACTAGTTCTGTGGGTGTGGCTTAGGGGGGTAATGTGACTGGGTGGGCGTGGCCAATTTTTTTTAATTTTATTTTTAAAACCATTTTTTCTACAACCTCTTTGGCGAAGAGGTTGTAAAAAATGCTTTCAAAAGGCTCTGACGATCCCAGCTGAGTTGCCTTATCGGCAGAGACTTTTTTTCTTTTAAATGCTTCTAAGGATCAGGCAACTCAGCTTGGATTGTCAGAGGCATTTAAAAGGAAAAAGGGTTATTTTCTTTTAAAAGCCTTTGATGATCCCAGCTGAGCCGCGCGATCATCAGAGGCTTTTATTTTACTCTTAAAAGCATTTTTTTGGTGGAAGAGGTTGTAGAAAAAATGCTTTTAAAAGTAAAAAAAAAGCCTCTGATGATTGTGCGGCTCAGCTGGGCATGGGGGGGGGGGCAGGGATTTTTGCTACCGGTTCTCTGAACCACCCACCTCCATTGCTACCGGATCGGGCGATCTGGTCCAAACCAGGAGCATTTCACCCCTGCGTGGGACACTGTAAGTATTGTAACTATGAACCAGGTGTCAAGCATCGGAATATAAATCACGTGACCACAGGGATGCTGCAATCATCGTAAGTGCGAAAAATGGTAAAAAAAACTTTTTTTTTAGTGCCATTGTAACTTCAAATCAGGGGTGGGTTCTTCTTACCTTTACTACCGGTTCGCAACGGGAGCGCGCACACACGCACTTCTGCACGTCCGCAGATCGTCAATTATGACGTCCGGGTAGGTGGGCGGAGCCTCCCGCCGGTTTCTAAAGAACCAGACAGAACCGGGAGCAACCCACCACTGCTTCAAATGGTCACTAAGTGAACTGATGTAAGTCGAGGACTACCTGTATTGCCTTTGAATATGGAAGCTCCATTACATGGCAGGGATATTTTAAGGCAGGGGTGTCAAACTGGCGGCCCGCGGGTCGGATGCATCATGTGCAGGCCACGCCCACCCCAGATCCGCGAAGGGGGAAAAAAATCACATGACGGCAACGCGACATGGCGAGTTTGACACCCATGTTTTAAGGACTTGATTTGGGGACCACCATTTCAAAACTAAACTTGAAAAAAAAAAAACCATCTGTCAGTTTCATAAAGGTGCAGATTCCAGTTCAAGGAAGAAACAGTCAGAGGTGAGACTTAAAGATCCAGTGTTCGATGAATGACCAGAACTCCACCCCCTCCCCCTGTACAAAATGCCTCTGTATTTCCCTTGTGTTAACAAGAATAACCATTCTTTTCCATTGTCTGCATGCATCCCTGGATGCTTTTCTCAAAGTATGCATGTAAGGCCCTGCCTGCAGCTTATTAGGGTGGGGGGGACGTCTTCATTTTAAAACTCTGGAACATCTGCCTTTTCCTTTTGAGCTTGTTTTCTGAGCTAGCAGCAGCATGAAGGAATCTGGGAAATGTGGCTCACTGCTGGCAGACAGCCGATTGCTGAGTCAGCTGGATTGAAGGTGCCAAGGTGAAAGTTTTGTTGCTTTGACCTCTTCTTTTCTCCAGCTTATTTGGAGGAAAACTTTGAAAGCAGAAGATTATATTTTCTCCCTGTGACAAATAAGTTCCATTAAAAATACTTGGAAAGGAAAACATAGTGACACCTATGACAGGACCTGAACACTCTTCCGTACAATGTTGTGGAAATACCACTATTGGATTTCTTTAACAGAATAACAGAGTTGGAAGAGACCTTGGAGGTCTGTAATCCAATCCCCTCAAGCAGGAAACCCTATACTATTCCAGACTAATGGTTGTCCAATTTCTTCTTAAAAACCTCGATTGATGGAGCACCCACAACTTCTGGAGGCACCCACAACATCTGGAGGTGTTCCTCTGATTAATACCTCTGACAGGAAATTTCTCCTTAGTTCTAGGTTGCTTCTCTCCTTGATTAGGCTTCATCCACTGCTTCTTGTCCTGATTTTACGTACTTTGGAGAATAGGTTGACTCCCTCTTCTTTGTGGCAGCCCTTTAGATATTGGAACACTGCTATCATGTCTCCCCTAGTCCTTCTTTTCATTAAACTAGACATACCCAGTTCCTGCAACCGTTCTTCATATGTTTTAGCTTCCAATCCCCTAATCATCTTTGTTGCTCTTCTCTGCACTCTTTCCAGAGTCTCTACATCTTTTTTTTATATCATGGCGACCAAAACTGGATGCAATATTCCAATTGTGGTTTTACCAAGGCGTTATAAAGTGGTATTAATACTTCATATGATTCTATCCCAAGGGAACTGAAGAAGCTTCTTGGATGAGAAGCGAAATGTCTTCAAGGAAAAAAAACAAAGTCCAATTGTGTTTTGGAAAAGCACCTTCGGGACAACCATGACCCGGATGACTGAGAATCTCCATAGACGTATCTCTCTGTTAATGCAGCCTAGGACTGTGTTGTCTTTGTAACTCCATAGATCCCTCCATAGGTTGCCCAGCTGATATGGTGAGGTACTTCAGAGAGCCATGAGCCTTAAAGACAATGACATCCGTATCTCATTGCTGAGTATGGATAACACTGACTGAAGGCAGACCTCAGCCCTTGTTCATTGACTAAGCTATTTCACTGAATCTAATGTTAAGCCTGGGGTGATGGAGGAAGGGGAAAAAAATAATCCTGCCCTTGGGTCTAATTCCATCTCTCCACTAGTCATAGATACATAATAACAGGAAGCCGCTTCCTTTGTTCTTCTGTTTGCTTCACCAGCACTTAGTTGATCCCTAAAGACATTCTGGTAGCTAGTGCAAGGTTAATCAATCTCTTATCCATCTTACATCATTACATACTATCAATCTACATACACACATAAAAACATTTGAATTAAGCGCAGGGTATCTTGTGCCAGTGAATTCCTGCAAGTTCTCACCTTCATCCAATACTCAGCTTTGTAAGATCTTTACTTTCTCCATAGTAGTATGGAGATACAATGAATATATATTTATATATTATAAAATACATAATAGCATGCCATATATTATGTTGCTTTTAATAAACCTAGACAATATTATTTTCCCCCCCCTCTGGATTCTTACACCATTTATGTCTGCTTCTTTCTATCAAGTTGATTGCACCTCCATGTTTCCTTATCAACTGGAATGGGTCTCTCTCGCTCACACCCACAGGCTGCCCAAAGTATGTATGTTTGCAATCACGAGACTTACATGATTGTCCATTCCATGTGTTATAACTTATATACGACTACAACAAAAAGGGTATAAAGAAAGGACAAAAACCAATATCCCCTCCAAACCCAGCCCCCAATTTCTGTACCCTAAAATATTTTTTTTATTAAAAATAAAAACCCAAGTGTATGTGTTCAGCCTTATATCCTATTCCAATGCCTGGGGCAAAAGTCAGATTTTTAAGGCTTTCTGGAAGGCTAGAAAGGGCAGGAGCCTGCTGGAAATCAACCACAAGGTTTCTCAAACTAAATTTTGCACCTTTGAACGGGCTTTCGTGAGCTATATTCAATGATTCAATAATAAACGGGATGATTAGGAAGGGCAGGGGGGGTCACACCAATAAAACTTACTTGCTGTCTACTTTGGGCTTATATTTATCTATGGGATGGAGGAAAGAATCTTGGAATGACAAACTCCACCCCTTTGTCAAATTGATGGACCCGTGGAAGTATTGGTTGGTGACCAGGGTAATATGACTTACAATATGCAGATAGGCACTACGCTCCCAACAGGAATGAATGGGGGAAGGAGGGCTGACCATTCACAAGCTACTTTAAAAGGGAACCATTTGTGTGCTGTGGTGAAAGAGTGTGGCAGTGTGAAATGGGGGGTGGGGATGAGAACAAAGTGTGCACCAGTATTAATTTAAAGTGGATACAGTCAAAACACAAAATAAATGCCACCCTTTTAACATACAGGAAGATTTATATCACCACATTCCTCCTATTCTTCCCATCACATTAAAACCCTGAATAGCAGGAAATTCACTCTCTCTCTTCCCCCGGATTAATAAACTTTGTTGATTCATTTTTTTAAAAAAACAACAAAACTAAAATAATAAAATAATAATAATAATAATGAAAAAAACCGCCCCAAACCCAGTAATGTCAAACTCTTTTGATTTCTCTGCAAGCACCGTTAAGGTCAAATTATCATCGGTTTTCTCACCCCATCTTCTCCTGCCCGCCTGCCAGGATCTCTTTTTTTCAGTTGTTCCTTTGATCGAATTTCCACGTTGCCTCTTTTTTTTTTTTCTTTTTTTTTCCTCTGTTCACTCTTTCTCCGGATCCGGATACTCCTCAAATTTCCTCCGGAATTTCACTTTGGAAATCCATGACTTTGTGATGGAAAAGGCGGGGTTGGGTTGTGGGGCTTGAAAGAAAGGGAGAGCATTACCACATGCGCATTCACACACAGAGGCACACACACTTCTATACGTTCCCAAGGGTGCGGGGAGGGAAAGAGAAGCATAAAGATGAGAGCAGCTGTTCCTTTCGCTCCAAAAAGCACTCCCTCCAAATCACTCTAAGGGACCCCAGAGATAAGAACTTTCTTTCTCCCAAAATATATATATATATATATATATATATATATACATCCCAGGTTCTCTTTCTTCCTCTCGAGTTGGAAAGAGGGTGGAAGCGGGAGATCTTTTTGTTGTTGTTGTTTCTCTGTTGCAAATATTTCTCGCTCTTTTCTAGCGCTTCAGACAAATCGACAGCTTTCTCTGCAGAGCTTTAAAACGAAAAGAGGGGGGGGGGAGAAAAATCATGTTAAAAATGGAGCTGCTTACCCACTTTGTTCTTTTGTGCAGGATAATGCCGGCGGCCTTTGTTCTCCTTTTTTTTTTTTTTAAATTTTAAATTTTAAATTTTATTTTATCTTCCTTCATCTGCAAACTCCGCTTCGTTTCTATCACATTTCTTCTGAGTTATTTCCAAAAGGGGCGGGCGGGGGCGGGGAAGGTGGCTTCTTTTGTTGGCTCTGTATTGCCATCTGCCGGAGGAAACCGGACTCCACAGCTTCTGCAGGCACCGCCGGAGCCCTAGAATTAAAACCTTTTTAAACGTGTCAAATATCCGATTGACAAGAGGGAAGTTGCTATAAGATTAGAATTGGCCCTGGCCTGGCAGCTTTCACAGTTAGAACTGAAGCCATTGTTTAAAAATCTATCATTAAGAATCACGGAATTGGAAGGGACTTTGAAGTTGGCTTATTCCAAGAAGTCCTAATTAACTTCTGCCTACAAACATCTCAGGTAGGAAATAGCTATATGCTCACGTACTTTATTCCCCTGAACAACCCCATAGGACCACAGAGTTCTTAATCTTTCATTAAAGTCTTTATTGTAATTAGAAGCCATTGGTCTGGATTTTGTTTTCTAGAGCAGGAAAATGCAATTTGGTCCCCCCAGTGTGAGGTTTTTCAAATATCTGGCCAACTTTAGCAAACTAAATATATTTAATTTACTATGACTTTGCTCACAGAATGTAACCACCACAATCTTTACCATCTTTTTAAAGAGCGCTGTCCAGCCAGCTCAGGCACAGAACATTCAACAAGATGGGTGGGTGGGTGAATAAATTTAATTAAATAAATACATTTACTCTAGTATCTTGACTGATTCCAGGAAGCCGGAAAGAATAAGAACCCATCCATGCTACTGATTTGTAGATAATTTATTCAATACTAAGTTGCATCTAAGTTGCAACTAAGTTGAAATATGGAAGAGCTGCCTTTTCTAAGATTAAAAAAACCACAAGTGTTCTTCCAACCATGGTAATTAGAGGGAAAAGACAAACCAGGATCAGACCAAGAAACGTTGCTGTTGGTGTTTTACTGATTTCAGGTGTGGCTCAGTAGAAATAGAATAGAATAGAATAGAAATAGAGTCCGGGTATTTGCCTCGATAAGCTTTACGCGTTTATTCAGCTGAATAAAGATGGCCCCTCATAGCAAGAGGGAACCTGAACACACTTTGACACTCATATTTACTGTATTTTTCAGACTATAACGCACACTTTCCCCCCCCCCAAAAAAAGTGGAAATATCTGTGCGTCTTATAGAGCGAATGTTGCTGAAGCCCCGCCCACCCACCGGCCCCCACCCTTCAGCCTCTGCCTCCCAGCAATTTGCCTCCTTGCAGCAAACAGCCTGGTCAGCTTTAGCATGATTTAGCATGAGCAGCTGATTGGCGGTTGGATTTGCCTCGGTTGGAATGCCACCAATCACCTGTTCCAGGCTGCGGGGATCGCTGCCACTCATTGGTGCTGTCGCCACCTATTGCTGCTGCCACCTGTCGCTGCCTCCACATGTCCCGTTTTTGCCCTCTGCATGTCCTGTTTCTGGCCCGTTCGAGGCAGTGGAGATAGGTGGTGGCAGCTATCTTGTTTTCCTCCCCAAAAGCTAGGTGCGTCTTATAGTCTGGAGCTTCTTGTAGTCTGAAAAATATGGTATATATTTGCTACATTGTCTACTTCTCCAGCCAGAAACACTGGCACACCCTATCCAGAAAAGCTGGCACACTCCAGATAAGATTAAGAAGTACAGAAACAGTCATCCACCTCCCCTGGAGGTTTTCCAAGGGCATTGAGTGTCATCAATGCCCTTGGAAAACCTGAGTTCCTCATTTCCTGAGGAACTTTCCATGACCTTGAAAAGGCCTACAGAGGCAATGATGACATCGGCACAAATGCTCCCTCAAGACTGCCATTAGAAACATTGGATTTCCTGGTCAACATTGGTATGGTGATGGCTCATGCAGACAGCCAATTGGACTGGCAATTGCCTTAAAACAGGCGCTAGGACATCACTCTCCAACTATCTGAGGGCAACCCTTAGGCCATATGGCAGTGATGATGAACCTTTTCGGCACTGAGTGCCCAAACCAGAATGCACGCTCCGGAAACCTGAACACACATGTGCACATGCGCAATCCGGAAACCTGAAGACCAGCTGGCCAGCGCGCATGGGAAACCAGAAGAGCAGCTGGTGATGGTGCATGTGCCCACAAAGAGGGCTCTGCATGCCACCTCTGGCACACGTGCCATAAGTTTGCCATCACGGCCATATGGTCTGTTCTTTCAAACACTTTTTTTGCTTTTAATTCTATTATGTCTGATGACTGAGGTGACCTGACTTTTCTTCATGATCATGTAGCCCTGACCCGGCCATATTCAAAGGCAATATATCGAGCAACAGTTCGTGTTTTGTCTGGAACAAGAGCAACGGTTGCTTTTGTGGCTAACATGTAAGCTTTGCAGGATATCTGTTTATTGTTGGAAGATGCATGAGATACCAGACAGATTGGGCAGTTTTTACAGGTGAAGATTAAATCAGTGGCTATCATGATCATTAATAAAAAAGCTTATCTATGGACAGGAACAAGATAATCAGGATGCAAAGCACCCGTGGTAATTTCTTCCATAATTTGGTTAATGGCTTCACTACTGACTGGCTATTGTTGGAAACTAAATGTTGGAGCACATCAGCTTTCCCCAATTTTTCCTAAGAAAGAATTAGGATGATGAAAGATCTTTCCTAGTGTGTAGGACAATTCTATTCTTTTCAAACAGTCTGACTTAATTACTTAATTACTAGGCCTTATGGGAGCTAGTAATTTGGAGAGCACCAGATTGGGGAAGATTCTCTTTGTTTTTATTTCAGTGGATACACCACAAACTCAAGCAGGCTATCAGCGAGCTAAGCCTTGCCTTGCCTTCAAGGAACATGGATTACAGTGAGTCCTGAACCCAACCTTCTGTTCAAGTAACAACATCTCAAAGACTGTGAGTCACAAGTCTCAGTGAGAACTTCATGTGGAAACTTGTGAATAGCTGAGTAATTAGTGCTCCAAATAAACTGCCCCTTCAGATTTCCAACTGCAAGTTTCAAGGATGCCCTTTAGATGAACAAGACATGATATCCAAAGTGATCCCACCAACATTCATCTCCTATTTCTGTTGACCCAATTAAAATAATCCGCCTTGTGCCAGATAATTAGTTTCTAAAAAAGGCTGTCAATATTAGATAGCCGATTGCTAGCAAGTTGAGGATGCTGTCTGCTCTACTTTTCAAAATCTCCTTTCAATACTTAAAACTTTAGCCTTCTCTTACCAGTGGTAATGAAAGGACAGTGAAAGTGAAGCTAAAGCAAGGAAAGGTCTTGTTTTAGATCCAAGGTAAACCCAGAATGTCATGACATTCTCAGCATTTTTATCTGATCATACTTTTGAAAGGCATAACACCTACAATTTCTCATTGTAGTTGCTAGAATGGCTAGTCTGCCAGAAGAACCAATGTTCAAAGATACCTTCTTCAAGAGATGCTCAGCAGCCTGCCTGCTGAATCTCTGCTTTAAGCATATCTTCCTTCCAATCAGCCGTCACTTGGAGTAGGTAGATGATTCTGCTCTATTTCTGCATTAGGTACCATTAGTTCCCTCAGTTATTCCCAAAACAGAACAACGTGCTTTCAGAGAAGAGTGCCTGATGCACTCCTGGAAAAATCACTGGTCTGAGTTACTCATTGCCAGGCACCAAATGGACAATTTTACTGCTTTTCAATATCTGGTTTAACTGGCTCAGTTCCTGGAACAAAATCACTGCTTCAAGAAAGAGATTATTTTTGCATATCCAAAGGAATCACTGTTTCTTCCACTTCAGAGGCTTGCTGCAAATCAATGATTCAGAAATAAGTGTGAAAAGTGGTTTTTTTCAAAGGGCAGATCATTCTTATAAATTCTAAAATGAAATCTCAGATGCAAGAACAGTTGCTAATTAGAGTTCTGGAAAGCAATTACTACAATGGCAGAGTGTCCTATGGACCAATTGAAGTTTCGCAATAGAAATGGATTATTTCTTTCCATTTATACAACAATGGAAAATACAATCCCATCTTTAAAACAAATGGTTTGTCTAGTATGAACAGAAAATGCTGTTCACAAACATCCTGGAATCCATACATAATACTTCTCAATTTTAAATAGCTATACTAATTTTAAGAATTAGAAATGGGAAGTGTTTATAATTTGCCGAATGGATGGTGGCCATCTCCTACAGTGATCTGAAAATATGGGAAACAATATGGAGGAAGAATGAGGCTTGATAAAAACTTTTTTTGAAAAGATTTATTTTTCAGAACATTCTGAAAATGGCAGGAAGAAAAAGGTAATCTATAAAGAAATTGAACAACACTTAAAGAAAAAGCAAAAAGGTATTTCTTTACATACCAACTAGTTTGTGGAATCAAAGAAGTGTTGAACTTCCCTTGGAGCAATCTTGTATTTCATGGTCATTATCGGGAATTTTGGTTTCATCCATGACCAGACAATTTGAAGAACTACAGATTTTACTGGAGTTAATGCTTGGCTTCATATTTATACTGGAATCCACTTTAGAGGAAGACATCAATGGGCTTGATTTGCCAGTGGAGAGGGTCATTGTTTGTGAGGTTGAGCTTGTCTGAGTAAGGTCTATTTGCTCCAGACTCATTTCTGGACTTGCCGATTCATCTGCTGATGTTTTAGATATAGAGGCCCAGGGCAGAGAGATATAGCCTTTGTAAATATTCCAAGAAAGCAAAAGTAAGAAAAGGAAGCCAACAGTGGACCCCACAATTATTAGACTGAACAATGAACTTTGGATTCTTCTGGATAGCAGTTTCCTTGGGTTCTCCGTCTCTGGGCCTGCCAAAGGTTTGCTTTTTGAACCTGCTATTTCAGAACACATCTGGTTTGACAAATCACACTTAGGACTGTAGAAAGTTTTCTCTGGCTGGGGCTGAAGGAGATAGACAGCCATTGTTACACGAAATGTTCTCCCATTGACTTTTTCAACAGACTGACATTCATAAAGACCGGTATCAGCAACTGTTGCATTAAAGACAACCAGGCCTTTTGTATGGATGAGATATTTAGCCTCTTCTTCCAGCAACTGGCTCTT